CTGTCTGCTATGTTTGCCAGGTACACGTATGGGAAACCAGTCAAAGGTAGTGTGAAGGCTGTGGTGTGCCGTAAACACATCCGCTATAATCGGAAGTCTTCTAAAGACAAGCGCAGTATTTGTAAGGATTACACTGGCGAGGTGAGCACATGGGACATCTACTCCTCTTGCAAAAGAGAGGAACAGGGGCAAAGAAAGGGAAGAGTACTAAAGGAAGGAGTGGGACAGACATCAGCTATTGAAGCAGCATGCTCTTTGCTTGAGGAGCCCTTAGCTCCCTAGTGTAGTAATCTTAGCCCCTCTCAGTGATTTCTCTGACTGCACTTAAATGCACTCGAAGGAAGAAGCATCTGTAGGCAAGCTAACTATTGCGGATTTGCCTACAGAACAGGTATTGCAACAGGGCAATAAAAAATACAAACACTGTCCACATAGATTCACTTCCACTGCATGCTTTTTAGCACCAGCTTTTAATCTGGTGTAAACACCTACATGCTGTTTCCCAGAAACAGCCATTTTGGAGACACAGCAATTACCTCTTGCATCTAATCAAGCAATTGCAGTTCAGCACAGACTGTACTTATTCATCTCTAGGGTTGAATGAATATATCTATATTTGTTTTCAAATTTTTAAGTAACCCAGCAAATATCTTAAAGATAAATCCTGCCGTAGCAGAAGAAATCATGTTGTCAGGGAGAAATGACAACTCGTGTTTGCTACTGGCACATGGGTGAGTGTGTAAAGATGAAACACGTATGAAACAGCATTTCGTGTTAGTGACTGCTCCACAGAAAAGAAGTATGTTTCATGCCAGTATGGGAGTTGCTCCTTTAAGTCAGGTGTCTTAGTCGTGTACTTTTAGAATTCTGGGCCTTGGGTTTGATCTGCACTGCAGAAGGGATTAGTGCATTCATGGTTGATTAACAGATACACTTTTACATCCCCAGACAAACGAGGACGGCTGCTTTGCCACTGAGGTGAATGTTAAGATCTACCACCAGAAGCGTGGCAACAATTATGATTTCAACCTGGAAGCTGTGGCTTTTCTGAAAGAAAGTGGAACAGGTAGCAAAAACTGATTCTACACTTTGTGGAAAATTCTTTACGCTCGTACAACATGCTTGTCTTTGGGTTGTCAACTGTAAGACTCCTTATGGATCCTTGTGTCTTCCCATCAAACCACTGGAGCTTTCTGCACTGGCTCCCATGGGGTCAAGTGTTCAGAGGGTTATGTCTTCCCTGGGAGCACGATGGCAGCATGGATGTTCTTGTGTACCATACCCCTCAGGTCTGACTCACATAGGACATGTGAGTTTTCCCAGTTTCCCAGGGCTTTACCAGTATGTTTGCTTCACCATAAGCTCTTGTGGCCAGTCCAGCTCTGACACCTTGGTTTGGCAGAGATAGGCAAGAGATGTTTTTTCTTGTCTTCTAGTCACAGTAGAAATGTAGACAGAGGTGGGCTAGGCCAGGTTCTTTTATTCTTAAATCATACTTTAGGAAAATCCATTGGAATGAGGAGATAGAGCAATCAGTGATAACCAAGGCCCTGACTGTGTACTGTTAATAGCTCCTCATCAGATTCATCTCCACATCCCAGATGAGGCTACTTGTCCAGAGCTCCTGTTAAATATCTCATCCGTAAGGTTTTCTCTCTTATAAAATTTTACAAATCCTTCCTTAAAAGAAAATGTTTTGCAACTCCTTGCTGAAAGCAGTGACTGACATTCACTTAGCAAACAAATGCAGTGGTTTCAGATGGGCACTACATGGCAAGACAGCAGACAAGTGAACATGGTGAAGGCAAGGAAAAATGTGTTGCCTTCTAGTGACTCTACTGTGAGAATGGAAGTGGACAGTTATGAGTAGGACCATGTTAAACAAAGTCAGAAAGAGCATTTGAGAACTGTCTGACAGAAACCTCCTGGTAGTCTACGGTCATTCTAGCAGGTCAGAATGTAGGAGGCACTGTGGCCGAGTGTGTGTGTTAAATGACTCCTGAAATGATGTGGAGAAACTACAACTCCCTATGAGTGATAGTCCATCCAACCTTGCTGCCTTTGCTCAGATGCATGATACCTGCACACACCTCCTGTCTTTCCTAGGGGTGGAGTTCAACACCACTGAAAACTGCAAGGTCACTTTTGACATCACAACTCTCCAATTCTGGGGCACAAGCTACTATTATCAGCAAGGAGCTCCTTACTATGGAAATGTAAGTGGGATAGGACAGAAATACAGAAAGCCCAGCAGCTGGGCCTAAGGGGACGGCAGGGACAGAAGTACTGAGGGGTCCCTTTCTGAGCTGCCCAAAGCTGCTAGCACAGTCTTCTGTCCCAGTCTCTCCTTTGACATCTCTACCAAGAGGTAGCCCAAAGGTGTGACCGCGGGACAGGCACATGGCTTTGCCGGGTGAGATGGCTGCTGCGTAAATAGGGAGGGGTTGGAGGAGTTAGAGTTCACAGTGAAAGTCCCTTTGCAGAGGGGGGAACTGGGACTTCTACTGGGAGGTAGATTTTCAGTCCTGAGGCCTCCAATTCTCTGACCGTTCTCTACGTCGTTACAGTTGGAACTCAAAAGTGCCAATGGGACACACCTGAAGAACAAGGAGGTGATTCTTACAGTGTCCTATGGTAGCAGGAAGCAAACCAAGACCTACTTCACAGATGACACTGGGATGGCCTCTTTCATCTTAGAGACGTCAGCATGGGACAACAGCAGCAAAGTTCTTCTACAGGTTAAGCCCAATAATTACATTGGATTTGGCTAGCACTAAGCAATGCATCCCTCAGAGCTATAGTCTATGCTATTGTCTCAGTATAGCCGGGGAGATGGAGGCAGGGAGCGGTGAAATGACAGATCTAGGGCAAGAGGAATAGCCCATAGTAGAGCCAGCGTTCTGGCCACTGGTGCCACACACCGTCCCCGAGCAGTCAGGAGACACGATGAGAGACAGGGCCGCAGACAGAGGCCCCATGAAGTTGTGAGTACATAGCACCTCTGTTTGAGGTGGAAAGGGCTTTGTGCGGCTGGGCAGGGACAGAGAGCAAAGGAAGAACTCCCACATGGTATGGAACAGGAAGACAGGAAAGGAGCTAGGGAAGAAGCATCTGAAAATGCGTGTGGAGAAGAAAACATCAGTGACCAGTTTGCATTATTTTTCTTCATAGCATAGGAGTTAGCAGAAATCTGGGATATAAGAGGCAGAAAACTTAGGAGAGAAAGAAGGAAGACTAGTAAGGAAGCAGTTGTTTCAAGCGAGTCTGGAGCAGAGCAGGTACCCAGGATGTGAGGAGCTAAATAGGGATACCACCGACAGGGAACTGACAGACCAAAGTTTGCATCTGCTTCCCCATGAACAAGGAAGGCTTTCTTGTCTGGTTGTAGGGGTAGATTTCTAATACCTGTCCTACCTAAACTTCAAGGTCAAGGCACTTTGAGGCAAGACCTGTCTCTTTATCAGAGTGCTTACAGTGTCTTAGATGATGGATCTTCACCTTGCTGGAAGTCTACAAGAAGTTAATATAGTCTCGATACAGAGAGGTTATAGGTCAAAGATGACCAATGTTATTGATCTTCAGTTGTTCCTTGCCACTTCTACCCTGTGGATGAGGGAAAGTGCTAAAAGAAATACTGTGTGCGAGTAGAATAACACTGAACAGCGAAATACATTATCAGGGCAGATCCATGCTGATACTTTGCCCACACATGCCAGACAGAAGAAAAGGGTTCAGTGGTTTGATCCAGGGACTAATAAACCACTCTACACAGTTTAACGATCTGGCTTGCTCCCGGACTAGCAGCAACACTGCAGAAGTTCAGGCTCTAGCCCAAACCCTGGTAGCATACAGCTCCCTGCCTCCTCTTTAGGTGCTAGTTATCCCAGAGTGTGGTGGAGTCGGCAATACCAAACTCCACAGAAAGGGGCTGGCTGAGCTTGGCTTAGGTGGAAATAGGCACCTTACCCTGGGAGAGTTTAGAGCCCACTCTCCAGTCAATCTTGGTTTTGTGGTGGAGAGAGCTGTAAGAAATCTTCAGACACTGAGCCACCTTTTCTGTGCCACAGGCAAAGATCCCGCCGGAGGACCTCAGCGATCGAAATGTGCGAGTGTCTTATGGCACTGCATCCCTCACACTGAGGGCCTTCTACTCTTCCAGCCGCAGCTCTGTGAGGATCCAGCCGGTGCAGGCGATGCTGCCCTGCGGGGACGTGCAGCAGGTCACTGTACACTATCGCATCCTTGCCACAGAGCTGGGGGACGGGGCTGGCAGAGCAGAATTCTACCATCTGGTGAGTGCAGGGCAGCGCCGGCAACGAGGTCAGCTTTGCGACGGGTCTGCATCAGCACGGGGCCCTTTGCTGGAGTCATGGGGCAGAGGCACTATCAACACTTTGCTTTGTTCATCACCCTTTAGGTTTTGGCCAGAGGATCCCTTGTGCATCATGGCCAAACAACCATACTTCTTGATCCACCATTAGGTAAGAGCATCTAAATACTAGGAACAGATTAAGGAATCAACAAGAAAGCCCTTCCAGCCTAAATGGAGAAGGAGAGAAAAGAGATCTGAGACCAAAAGGAAACAACAGAGCTGGCACAACAAATCAAGAGGAAATGGCAAATAGACTCTCCTCTATCTTTTAATTTCCCTGATTTTTTTTTTCTGATCAAATGATGAAATCATCAGAGTTTATCCGCCAAGCAGGAATTATCAGAGACCTCCAAGATAATTCACGGAATCTTTTTGCTGGACTCAGGTGGAAGGTCATTTCTCTTCCAAGGGCACACTGTTACCAAGGTGCCTTATGATGTAAGGTCACTGCTACAAAATGCCACTAACCTACATCCTGGTCTAGCTGTGGCCTCCCCAGAAGCAAGGCAGAGTAGTTTTTATCCAAGTAACTGTACAGAATTATTACAGAGGTTGAGCATGTTGCTGCTGTTGGAGACAGACTTCCTTGCCTCTTCCTATACTTTTTCCATTTCTCCTTCTTCCTTCAGGACAGTATAGTGGGGCTTTCAATGTCACTCTGCCCATTGACCTCATTTCACCCATGGCTACCCTCTTTGTTTACACTTCCTTTCCTGAGGGACAAGTGGCAGCCGACACCTTCAGTCTGAAAGTCTCCAAGTGCTTCAGGAACCATGTAAGTAGTGCACAAAGCAGAAGTGGGCAGGTAGACTGGAAGGTAGCTAATTAACTGCAAATTGGCAATAGATGTCCAGCAGAATCCAGTAGCCACACTCACCCCTTTCCTTCCTCTGTCAATGTCTTCAGTCCTTCTTTCTGCTGCTGTTTCAGGTGAAGCTCGGCTTCTCAGACACAGTGGCTCTCCCAGGATCAGCTGTCCGTCTCCATTTGCAGGCTGCACCAGGCTCCCTATGTAGCATCCGTGCTGTAGACCAGAGCGTCCTTCTTCTGAGGCCAGAGGCTGAGCTCTCCAGGGATAGTGTGAGTCACTTTAGTGCTGAGCCTTGCTAATGTTGGAGAGATGCCTTCTGAGTATCTGGTTGCAGGCTCTGCTTAATAAGGCACAGTGGATATACCAACAAGTATTTGAAGGGGGACAGGACATGGCTTAATGAGAAAAAATCAAGGCCAACATCAAACACCAGTCAAAATTTCCAGTCGCTACGGAGGGATTTCATAGAATAACCCACTGTCATCCCCAAGTACAACCCAAAATCACATCCTTGTTAAACTTAGAGTGCTTTGCCACAGTGGCAACCAGATGGCAAGAGACTTCCATCTCCTGAACCAATTGTGAAAAAAAGAGTTATGTTAAAAAAAATTACCCGATGTGTGATAGGCTCCATGTCTTTGTTTCAGCTCATGTGAACCAGACAATCCTTCTGTTCACAGATTGGACTGTAAGTGGTGCCTTGGCAGCAGAAGGATCCCCTTTCTCCTCTAGACCTGGCATGCATTGGGTCTAAGGACCCTTGAATTCCCTCTTAACACTCTCTTGGTGGATTCAGGATGTGCCTTCAGTCAGACAAGAAGCTATCTAATAACTCCTACAGGGAAGATGTCCTCACTGTTTGCTGAGTTCTGATACAATCTATGAGCTAGAAGTGGCCACAGCTATGCAGCCGTACCCCAGAGGGGTTTGTGTTCACCTCTGATGCTATGCATCTAGAACTTGTGGAGGCTCTCCATGAAGCTCAAAAACCTTTGGGACTGGGCTTTTGTGGCAGGCAGGATTTGAGCTCTGCCTCTGCGGTAACAGAAAATCCCTGGATAAAAATGAAAAACTTCCCACCTCTCACACTGATCTACACTGTTTTCATTCTCCATCTACAGGTGTACAATATGTTCAGCTCTTCTCAGGAGTACCCCAGGACCCTCACAGACTCTTACAGTGACTACTGTACTATCCATAAGAGCCCAGGAATCATCGTTTCCCCTCAGACCACCCTTCCACCAGGAACAATGTCACCATTCGTGTACAACAGATACTCTTATGCAGTGTCCCAACCAGATGTTTATGAACTTCTAAAGGTAAATCTGATTTCCAGAAAACCTGAAATACCACAACTGAGCCCTTTGGTACCCCAGGTCAGTGCTTCACAGTAAACTTGAGTGCTTTCCTGTAAACTTGAGGTTCTGAATTTGCCAAGCTTCTGAACTAAAAGATCTCTGACACTCCATGCTCCTAGCTTGATAAATTCCTGTTGATCAGGTAGATCCCTAGAACCCAGGTCCCCGTTTACCCCAAGCTCAAGACCCTCAGACTATCTAGGGGATGGAAGGAGAGGGGAGTGTCAGCCTGAGTCAGAGAAAACTGGAGGTTGGAAAAGCAAAACACCAGAGAGAAAAAGGGAACTGGGGAAAGGAGGTAAAGAATAGTAGAAAGCAATAGCAGGTGAGAGATGAGAACCTGTGTTAGGGTAGGCAGAAAACTGTGGTGCCAAAATAATGATTTTGTGCATGGGCATGCACATGTGAGTGGTCACCCACACAATCCTGCCTGGAGGGAGGGTCCTTTGGCATGAGGGGGCAGGACCAGGCTTTGGGAGCGGGGTGGTTCTGCATTCTCTCCCTCTATAAATTTGCAGGTCAAGCTGAGGGGCAACAACACAGGGTGGCTGATACGCTGGGATGTGGTGGCAGAGACAGACCCTCAGACAGACTACCCCCTCCACTGAAATCTATCTTCTTTTCTTCCTCTTCTTTCCTCCAGAATTCCGGTCTAACATTTTTAACCAGCCTTAAAATCAAGTCTCCAATTGAGTGCCGCACCCAGACCACTTTCTACTACGACTACATGTGTACATCTCGATTTATCCTGTTTCTTTGGAAATCACGGGTAACATACAGGCTGCTCAAGGGCAGCTGAACATGCGGTGTGCTGAGGAGCTGGGGATGGCTTCCGGAGATGAGTGGGAGGTTGGACAGGAGATGTGCACCACAGGAAGATGGGAAGGGTCCTGACACGTGTGCGTGTGCACTGGAGGGGCAGAGGGGTGGCTGCATAGGAAGAACCTGCTTGGAAGCTTCTGCTGGCAGGTGGGAAGATAATATGGTCAAGGGGGGAAATGAGGCAGGAGTCTTGGGAAGGAGTATCTGTTTGTAAGTCTAGGAGAGTTCTTGCTGGAAAACAGAGAATGAGCCAAGATTAGCACTGGGCAGTATCTAGGCCTTTCTGCAGGGGCTGAGAGCAAAAGTGTGAGCAGGTAGAGTTCCTCATGGGGAAGCACATGCACACGAGAATGGAAAACAATAGTGAAGTAGGTTGAGGGCATCTTGGAGAAGACAAAGGGGATCAGAGTGGGAGTGGGAGGGATGGAGAACTGACCTTTTCCCAGTTGAACTCTATCCTGATTTCACAGTTGCTCTGCCTTTGAATGAATGCTTGTATTCCCAATAGCTTATGGCGAACTGGCAGACTTGGACAACTTGGACCCAGAAACAGATGCTGCTGTTGAACGTGCTGAGTCAGAGCACGTTGAGCTGGGTAGCGAGGCAGGGCCAGTACGTACCTGGTTTCCAGAGACATTCATCTGGACTCTGGTTCCCATCAAGTGAGTAATTATGGGCTGTGGCCCCACATGGATCCAGACTTCCTACCAGCCACAACAGAGATGGAATGGGCAAGAGCAGAACCAGGGCATTATTGCCTTTTGTGCTCACAAAGAAAAAGGAGATGTGAAGAAGTGGATAAGGACAATGGAGGTTTGGTTCAGTTCCTGGCTCTGCTTGAGATTTTTCCAAATGACCCTGGGCAATCTAAAATCACAGATTCCTCTAGGATGGAAGAGGCCTCCAAAGGTCTGTAGCTCAACATCCTGCACAGGGCAGGTCCGGTTAGATCAGGTTGCAGTCAAGTTCTCTGTATCTCCAAGGATGGAGATTCGAGATTATCTGGGCACCTGTTCCAGTGTTTAACCATCCTCGTAGTATTTTTTTTATCTTATCTCAAGTCAGAATTTCCCATGTTCCAACTTGTGTCTGTTAAATTTCATCCTATCAATATGCACCTCAGAAGAGACTGGTTCCTTTGTCCCTACACCTTCCCAATAGGTAGCTTTAGAAAGCTGAAAGATGTCACCCCAGCCTTTCCCTCTTAAGTTTGAAAACCCCAGTTCTTTCAGCCATTCCTTGTACATCAAATGTCCCCTCCCTCTGACCATCTTGGTAGTCCTCCACTGGATGCATTCAAGTATGTCAGTATCTTTCTTACGCTGGAAGGCAAAAATGGGACACTGTAGTCCAGATGTGGTGCGACAATGGAGGAATACAGGGAAAGACAACTTTTCTCCAACCAGTGGTTGCAGTCTTCTTAATACGGTCCATAAGTAGATGGCTTTCATTGCTGTAAGGGCACATGAGATGCCTCACGCTTAACTTCTTATCCACCAGGACCTCCACCTCTTTTTCTGCAAAGCTGCTTACTACTTCATTGCTGTAAGGGCACATGAGATGTCTCATGCTTAACTTGTTATCCACCAGGACCCCCACCTCTTTTTCTGCAAAGCTGCTTACTAGCCAGTCACTGCCTAGCCTGTACTGTTGCATGGTATTATTCTACCCCAGATACAGAACTTACCCATTTTCAAGCCCATTTTTCCAGCTTGTCAAGGTTCCTCTTAAATAGCAAGCTTTCCTTCCAGCATATCAGGAACCCCTCCCCAACAAGGCACAGTCTGCTAATACATAGCAAGATTAGTCTGCTAATCTTGCTGAGGATGTCCTCTCTCCTGTTATCCAGGTCATTAACAAAGCCATTAAGCAGTATTGGCCCAAATATCAGTCCCTGAGGGCAGTCATGGGTAAACAGCCACCAGTTGGACTTTATGCCAGCAATAACCATCCTTTGTCCTCAACGGTCCAGCAAATTTTCTGCTCACCTTATCATCCACTTGTCCAGTCCACACTAATGTGGCTAGAAGGATACAACGGGAGACTGTGTCAAAGGCCTTGCTAAAATCAAGTTATGCAGCCTCCGCTGTTCTCCCCTTCTTCACGCACCCCAGCTTTCTTAATTCTCCCACGTGCCAATGTTCGCTATCTGTACAATAGGATCTCTACCTCTCCATGTCATTTGACTGGATTATGCCCATTTCAGGGCAGGGACCGTCTTCTGTTTTGTGTATGCAGATCTGTGAATAACGTGGACCTGTTGGAGAAGGTCCAGAGGAGGGCAACGAAAATGATCCGAGGGCTGGAGCACCTCTCCTATGAAGCCAGGCTGAGAGAGTTGGGGTTGTTCAGCCTGGAGAAGAGAAGGCTCTGAGGTGACCTCATTGCGGCCTTCCAATACCCGAAGGGAGCCTATATGAGAGACTGGGACAGACTTTTTAGCAGGGTCTGCTGTGACAGGACAAAGGGTAATGGTTTTAAACTAAAAGAGGGTAGATTTAGACTTGACATAAGGAAAAAAATTTTTACAATGAGGATGGTGAAGCACTGGAACAAGTTGCCCAGAGAGGTGGTGGAAGCCCCATCCCTGGAGGCATTCAAGGTCAGGCTGGATGGGGCTCTGAGCAACCTTATCTAGTTGGAGATGTACCTGCTCACCGCAGGGGGGTTGGACTAGATGACCTCTAAAGGTCCCTTCCAGCCCAAATGATTCTATGATTCTATGATTTAATGATGACTGCCAGGCTGTGGTTGGGAGTTTGGGTGATAGCGTGGTGGGCGTGTCACACAGTACTCCCTGGCAGAGGCTGGGTGTATAACATGGACCCCTGGGAGCCCTGTGTGCCCACACAAAACAAGAATTTGAGGTGCAACACTGCCCAGAAGCAAATTTTGGTTTACATTTGCTTCTCAGTCCTTCCTTGCCCACCTATTTGCTACCCTTCCTCTGTCCTACTTCCTAGGGATCGCCACACCTTCACGCACACTTCCAGTTCAAAGTCCTTCTGCATTTGTCTTCCCAAGAGAAATCTTTACATGGATGGGGGCAACCTCTTCGACTTTGTTTTCTCCCCAGTGATTCAGGGGCTGCTGAGCTAGCTGTCACAGTACCCGACAGTATCACAGACTGGAGAGCCATGACCTTCTGCACCTCAGAGAGCCATGGGTTGGGAATCTCAGAGACCACCAGCCTGCGGAGCTTCAAGCCCTTCTTTGTGGAACCCACCTTGCCCTATTCTGTCTTCCGGGGAGAATCATTTCCCCTGAAAATCAAAGTCTTCAGCTACCTGAAGCAGTGCATGGTGGTGAGTGGCTCCCTCCAGGATGGTTTTGGGCAGGTGGATGTGTGGTAACAGTACTTCACGGACAGAGACCCAGACAAGGAGGGGCTACTTCCTCAGGCACTGGGCAAAAGACACCAGGGAAGCTCTTCACAAAGCTCCGCGCAGAGCCATCTCTGTCCGGCTTGTCCCTTCCCATCTGCTCAACCCAACAGGACTGAGATGTCCATGGACTGTTGGTGTCCCATAGATATTGCAACAAGGCCATCATCATACTCACTCTGGGCTTCTGGGCTTCTGGGCTTGACTTGACGTTTCAAGGAGCTGAAAGGAAAAACACAGCAGCAGCTCTGTAACCCAAACTCTCTCTTCTGTCACCTCTAGCTCCAGCTTAGCCTAATGGACTCCAGGGATTTTGAATTTGTGCATGCAAATGTCAAGTTCACTATTTGTCTGTGTCCTGATTCAGCAAAAACATTTTTCTGGGATGTGAAGGCTACAAAATTAGGTAAGGGGACAAAGGAGTGGCCGGAGTGGGAGGCACTGGCAGAGCTGCTTTAGGAAACCAGAGATGGGCTGGAAGGGAGGGTGGCCTGTTATGCGAAGCATGAGTGAGCAGCCTTAGGCTGAGCAAACTGAAACGTAGGCACGGATGTGCCAACTGGCCTCTTGATGTTTTGTTCTTTAGGGAAGGTGAATTTCACTGTCACTGCTGAGGTGATGGAGCAGGAAGATGGTTGCACTGAGAGTACAGCTGTTGTGCCAGAGTCTGGAGGGAAGGACGCAGTGGTTAAACAACTGCTGGTGAAGGTCAGGGGATGTTTCAGGGTCCTGGAGAGGTTGGAACTGGGTCAGACTCAAAATGGCCCAGTGAGTTGCCCTGGGAAGGGGGAGTTGGCCAGGCAGGTAGGCACATTTCTCAGGGGGACTGGTCAAGGAGTGATTCTAAGAGCAGGTTGGGTTGGGACATGAGCTGAGCACCTTCATTCGATGGGACAGAGGCATCAGAACTGCTCGCTAGCAGGGCAATGGAAGCAAAGGTCATGTAGCAGCTTAGAAACCCACTCCCCACTGAAACTTCAACATTGGCACACATATCCCTGCTGTCTGTGTGAGGCCCTTTGCATGGCCCATGAAGATGGAAAAGGTGCTTGCAGGACGGTTGGGTGCTGCGCAGCTGCTCTCTCATTTTACTGCTCTCCCTTCTGAGCTGACCAGCCTTTTTCCCACCAGGCAGAAGGGCTGCTGGAGGAAAAGACCCACACCTCACTCCTGTGCCCTAAAGGTAGGTGCAGGTACCGTCTTGCCACTGGGGCTGTACATGCGCACAAAGCAAGGAGACCAAAGAGAAGCAGTGTGAACTACTCTAGAACTATCTAGAGGGGAAAGTCAGGGATTTTGGAGCGGATTTTATGGGGCGGCAAAGCCATTCAACTATACCCAGTACTACAAGCTCCTGGCAGGACCAAGCCACTGCCTAACCACAGTACAGTCACTCATCAGTGGGTGGCCTGATCTCTATGTCATCCTCTCTTGTGAATGCTGATTTCATCAACTGATGAGGTGATCCCAGCCCTGTTTACATCATCTCCTGGGGACGCCTGTGGCTCTGCCATCTCCCTCCAGCCTGTTGCTGTTCTGATGCTTTTGGCATTTGCAGGAACTTCAGCTTCGGAGACGATCACTTTTGCTGTGCCAGAGAACATAGTCCTTGGGTCGGAGAGAGCCTACATCAGTTTCTTAGGTGAGATTTAAGGGGATCCTGGAAAGTAAGATTTTTCCCTGCAGGAGTCTTTTCTTCTGGTGTCACCATGTCTGCTTTAGCAAACAGAGTAACAAGAAGGAATGTGTACGGCGTGGTGTAATACTGGGCTCTTATGTCTTCCAGAGAAGCACCTCATCTCTCTTATACAAGCAACGCTGGACCAGATAGACATATAATTTCATCTAGCCAAGGGAAAGACAGACACATACTGTATCACTGTTCCTACATGGCTCTATAGACATTAAAGTCATTGTAGTGTGAGCAGAGGTGAACTGAAACCAGTCTTAGCAGGTTATCTGGAGAATCGGTGAGACCAGAAATTTTTTATATGCAAGAATATGTAAAGCTCTCACAGCTGTTGTTCTGTCCTACAGGTGATATTTTGGGGCCAGCACTGGAAAACATAGATGAGCTCCTCCAGATGTCCAGTGGCTGTGGTGAGCAGAACATGGTTCATTTTGCCCCCAATGTCTTTATCACACAATACCTTGAAGAAACAGGACAACTGACTCCAGAAATCAAACAGAAGGCAATTGGCTATCTGGAAAGCGGTGAGTGAATTTCTGCTCGTGTTGGATTATTAAGCTGGTGATGTCCACTACAGTAGGTTGTGCGGTGGGGATCTCAGCAGAGGCTTGGTGCTGAGCAGGATTTGTGCAGCATCACTTGCCTGACACCATGAGAATTACAGCAGCGTAAATCAGGCTGCTGTGTCTCAGCTGAGGTAGGGGTACATGGCAACCCTCTGAAAGCCCTTTGCTGAATTCCTCAGAGACAGTGCTCTCTATAATGATGAGCAGGATTGGCAGGGCAGGTTGTCACCTTAAGAACATGACAGACACAGAGCATCTTCACTATCCCCAGCCTCTTCCCGCAGGATATCAGCGACAACTCCTCTACAAGCACACAGATGGCTCGTACAGTGCCTTTGGGGAAGGAAGTGAGCCAGGGAACACATGGTAAGCAGAGATATCCAGACATAGTTGAGGAACAGCAGCTTGACCTGCTCAGGCTCAGGGTGGCTTGGATTTTGGTCTGGGGAAACTGAGGGTGTCTGGAGGTGTGGAGTTTTGAACAGAAACTGCTCCTGAGAATCTCTGGAAGATAACTGTGACAATGAACTGACTTGAGGCACCTCTGTTTGATTCTTTGTGCTTGGACAACCCAAATGAGGCTGATTCTGAAAACTTGACTGCAAAGACACCTTCTTTCAAGGTTTTCCAGACTGCTTTGTGCCCAAACAGGATTGGGAAAGGGGCTGAGTGAGCTCACCGAATATCAGCCCTCCTGGTTTTAAGTCACACAAGTGCACCCTGTTGGAATTGGCAGAGCTCTGGGGGATACACTGAACTTTCAGCAAATTTTTTCTCTCTTGCTGCAAATGGATCTGAGCTCGAGCTTCCAGAGCATCTAACTCATGTGCATTGCTTCCAGCTCTCCATCTGCACAGAGGCTCTGGCCTGCTGGTATTTCTCCAGGGGTGACATATTGGAAGACACAGAGACTTCTGTCTCCTACTGGAGATGGGCATCAGTGACTGGTTCAATTCAATTTTCTTCTCCCTTCCTTGGTGCTAGGCTTACTGCCCTTGTCCTCAAGACCTTCAGCCAAGCCCGGAACTTCATCCACATAGATGAGCAGAATATAAAGGATGCTGCCAGTGCCCTGATTAAAAGTCAGACTCCATCTGGCTGCTTCAAGAGCGTGGGGAAGCTCTTCAACAATGGTCTAATGGTATGACATGTCCTAGCTGTTCATTAAGTACCTCAGAGCTCCTTCACTTTCTGGTCCAGTGCGGGTGCCAAGAACAAAGGAACCCTACTGCAGGAGAGAGGCTCTGATGTGCCCAAGGTCATCCTTGGGTGACACTCAGGGTTGTGCTTAGTCATGGCGGCAATTTTTCAAGTTATGAATGACGGAGGTTTGCATTTGATGATATGTGCATGGGAACTGAACCAGTGCACTGCCTTAGCACCATCTCAAAAGCTAACACATGCCCCCCCCCAAAAAAAAAAAAAAGTTTTCAAGCTCTGTGTTATTCCCTTGGTAAACTGGTTTAGCTTCCTTTCCCATTATTGAGCGTTATTCCTCCTTCAGTCTGAGTTCCCCCCTTACAGAGAGCCAGAAATGGATTGAATGGAGATTGATGGCAGCCACTCACATGAGATTCACCTTGCCAGGGATGTGCCCTACACAGTCAGAAACACAGCACTCATGCATGCACGGACAGGCCCAGAGTACCATCAAAGTGGAGCCAGCAGCAGTTTGGTGGACAGGACCACAGATAATTAATCCTCTAAATGAAGAGAATAATACCTTTCACTTCCCTTTGAAAAAGATACTTTTTCTTTTGCTCCTCCATACCCTTGCCACTGTCCTGGCCCTCGAGTGAGGTGCCACCTTGCAGCAGGGTTGTGAGAACATCACTTTCCCCTGGCACTGAAATCTATTACTGAAAATCTTTTGCAGGGGAGAGGAAAAGGGAATGTGTTTGGCAGAGAGAGGGAATCATCTACCCAGAGGAGCCTGGGGCACCATGGCTGAGAAGTGCTCTGGAAAGCAGGACCTGCAAGAGTAGATACCATCCCTGGCACTTCCTTAGCAGAAGGGATAGGACCAGCACTGTTGCCTGAGCTGGCTTGTGCTCAGGGAGCAGAAGGCCCTGGGAAACTTCTCCCTTTCCCCTCTCACAGCAACCCTCCTCTTCTCTGTTTTGTGGTGGCCGCAGGGTGCAGTGGAGGAAGGACTAGGGCTGAGCTCTGCAATCGTCACGGCTCTCATACACTCGGGGATGCCACGCTCCGTGAGTATCGGCAGCAGGGACGGGCTGTGTGTGCAGCCTCTCGGCAGTGCTCTGGCTCTCTGCCTTTCTGCACACAGGGGTATGTTACTGGTTTTCTCCCCACGTGTCCCGTCCCTGTTCCCACCCTCCTCTGTACACCTCAAGGCTGCATTCCCTCCCCATACAACCTGCCAGCAACCCATGTGCTTTCAATTGTATCCTAGGACCCAGTTTTGTGGAAAGCTCTGAAATGTATAAAGGACCTGGTCAACGCTGATACGGGCACTTCCAGCCTCTATGGCCTGGCACTAGCCGCAAACGCCTTTGCAGTAGCGGGTGATAAGGCTCTCAGGCAGAAAATCCTCAAAAGATTGGATAAGGCCGCCATAATATCAGGTACCAAAGACTGTGGGGCAGAAGATAGGGTCATTGGCAGAATTGTGTGGAGATCCCAGGGTTGAACAACCAAGGAAATCGAGAACAGGAGTGGAGAGCACTGGTAGAGCTCTGTGGGGAGCCCCAGGCTTGGATAGCCTCTGTTTGCTGAGCCATCACAGGTTATGTCCATACTGTAAGACAGACTTTCTCCATGGATGATCTCACAGTCCGGGTCTCCCCGTCATCCAAAACAGGGGAGCTCCATGGATGTCGTAGAGCTCCTTCCCCACCTGCAGGCCTGGGTTTTTACTGGGAAAAGCAGGGTGTGGGGAGGCAAAGAGGCAGATATGCACCCATATCTTGTCCCAATGAGCATGTCTGCCCGGTACCTAGGCACAGGGGCTGAGTAGGACTCCAAGATCATTAGATATAGCTACACACTCCATAAGTGTTCTCACTCCACCTCTAGATGACCAAATATTCTGGAGTCAGCAGACCAAACAGGAGGAAGACTCCCCATATTGGTATCGGGCTCCATCTGTTGATGTGGAATTGACATCTAGTATCCTCATGGCTCACCTTTCAAAGCCAAGTTTGACTTCAGATGAAATCAGAAAGGCATCCCAGATTGTGTCTTGGCTCACCAAGCAGCAAAATCCTTATGGAGGTTTTGCTTCAACCCAGGTAATTCCCTTGAGCTATCATCAGCAGAGAACCTGCTCTCCGCTCATAGAGCATCAGCCGTGGTTTGCGAGAGCAATGAGTAAAAAGGAAGAAAAAAAAGGTATGAATTTACAGCTCCTGGGTAAAAGGTGAATATTTGTACTCCTCTGAGCTAATCTCATCCTAAAAATCCAAGGGGAAAGCTCATCCCTTATTGTGCTGTAGCTGCAGTTTGAGGGAGCGCAAGGCTAGGGCCCGGGCATGTCCAGGAAGCACGGATCCTATTTTGCCTGTGTGTCTCTTTCCTCAGGACACGGTGGTTGCTCTGGAAGCCCTAGCCCTATATGCAACCAAGACTTTCAGCAAGGATGGGCCTGATCTTCAAGTTTCTCTCTCCTCTGAGGATTTCAACCAAAACATCCAAGTACACAACACCAATCGTCTCCTGCTGCAGACAGTGGAGCTGCCAGTCATTCCCCGAGATTATACTGTGCGTGTGCAGGGCCATGGGTGCCTCTTCCTACAGGTAAGCCCAACCAGGGAAAAAGTCTCTCTGGGGAAAATCCTTGAAAGCCAGGGGACCTCTCACCTTGCTACTTAGCCAACACTGAAAACAGACTGCTGCAGTGACTTGCAAGAATCTGGGCTTCAAGGCTGCTAGGAGTGGCTGAGATCCAACAGGAAGGGAACAGCAATTCCCCAAATGAAATCCAGATCATCTCCACCCAGTCAGAGCTGCGTCTCTCCTCCAAGAAGTCCAGTGAACACCACCAGGAGCAGTGCATTAGCAGAACCTCTGTTTCCACCACATAGTTTTCTCTTACACCAGTGCAAGACAGCAAACAGAAGCCAAACACTAGACAAGGATACTCTCTGGGGGGGAAAAAAAAAAAAAAGTGCTATTCTCTACCAACTAGCTTCTTTCTGTCCTGGCAGGCCATTCTGCGGTACCACATCCCTCCCGTGAGGAGTGACATCACCTTTGCTGTATCCGTGCAGACAGAGTGCACCGCACCCAATGCCACCCAGTTCCCTGTCACCATTCGTGCTCGGTAGGAGACACTCGGCTGCCCCTTGCCTCCCCGGTGCTAAGAGGCTTCTAGTGCCACGCCAGTCTCTTGATGGCCAGGAATCCCCTTCACTCATGAGGTCCAAGTGCTAAGATGTCCCCATTCATTTAACTATGCTCTCCTCAGCTGGGTGAAAAGTACAAGGCCCCAGAGGGATGGCTCAGGCTATAGTCTTATCTTGTTCTCATGCCAGTCACCACAAGTTCTCCCAAGGTCAGTGGGTTTCAGCCCCTTCTAGGATTAGGTCTCAAAACACTAGTGATGTGACGGTGCTGTGGGACTGACTGCTGACATTCCTAAATCTTCCCTCCTCTGCTGCTGGTTGACTGTCACACCGTTCTCCTCTGCTGTACCCCTGCCTGACTTGGGACAGAACGGCCAAGAGAGCAGGCAGAGGACGTGATATTCCCTGCCATGCCTAGAGAAGGTAACTCCAGAAGCCTTCCAAGGAATTTATTCTCCTTGGCTCAGGGCAAGTAAAAGAGAGGTCAGGGGCAGCACAAAGATTTATTACAGAACAGGAACAGGTATGCTTACAGGAGAAATACTGGAAGGAAAGGCAGATTCATCCACCTGATTACCAAAGCTGGGCTGGAGTATCTGAAGGTCATGGCTCAGAAAGTAACATTAGTGCTGTCCCCTGGGTTCCTGCTGCAGCTACACAGGGAACCGTGTGTCCACCAACATGGTCCTGATCCAAGTGGAGCTGCTGTCTGGATACAGCCCCGTGGCAGGTTCACTGGAAGAGGTGAGACCGCGAGTTTGTGTCCAGCTGGGATGGGGACAGCGATGGAATTCCATTATCCAGGATTGTATGCAGAACTGTGATCATTCCTGTGGGCAGAGCAGCATGGTTCTCTTCTTCCCAAGAAACCTTTATACCCAAAGCCTCCCCCAGGCCACACCTTGCCCTCCCCTACCCCAAGGGCATCCTTGGCCATGTGAA